CTCAGAGACACTCAGGGACACTCAGAGACACTCAGAGACACTCAGGGACACTCAGGGACAGCAGGGACAGCAGGGACACTCAGAGACACTCAGGGACAGCAGGGACACTCAGAGACACTCAGAGACACTCAGGGACACTCAGGGACAGCAGGGACAGCAGGGACACTCAGAGACACTCAGAGACACTCAGGGACACTCAGGGACACTCAGGGACAGCAGGGACAGCAGGGACAGCAGGGACAGGTAAACACACCTCAGCCATCAGTGACGCTTCAACAGAAACATTTACAGAAACAGGCAGAGCTACACGGTCACTCACACGTCCACCTGGCACAGGTAGCAGTGGCAGTTCTCGATGACATGCGCGTGTTTGGACCGGTCGAAGACGGGGACCGGACCTCTGTCGCTCTTGGTCCTGACGCTGTAGTCGGCCGGGTCGATGGACACGGCCATGACGTGGACACACAGGTGGCCCACGAACATGATGCCCGTGCACTGACGCACAGTTCAGGACTCACACACACACAGGTCCAACACGTTCTGCACAGGAAGACTTCACAGAACTTATCAGARCCAGAACCGCTCTGTAGAAACACCTAAAGGTCCGATGCAGAAAACTGTCATGTTTCAGCTGTGAGCACTACCTCATGTTTGTTTGTTTCAAAKGTGTTGTTCAAGGTTTTTCACTAAAATAAGTCTGGACAGTTTCAGGTATAAAAACAAATCAGCTTCAGCCTAAATAAGACGGACAGGTTGGGTTTTTGAAGGATCAGTGACGAGCCAACACACTGCAGTCAGAGCAGCCGAAGCTACAACTCTGAAAGTGTGGAAGCTTGGGTGTAAACTACACAGCCTGCCAGGGTACAAACGGGATTTATTTTCTCTTTTGTGTTCCCACACTTTGTGTTCCCTCGCAGTTTTCTTTTGTGTTCCCACGCAAGTTTGTTTTGTGTGAACTGAATTAAATCAGACTTTTATTTTGAAATATCCGGTTACCAAAACGGGATGTGTCGCCACAAGTTTGGGACATTGACGGTGATATTTTGTGGCTAAAAAATAAAATAAAAATTAATTAAAATTTAAAAAAAATTAAATTTGTGGCTGCACAGAGTTAAAATATCTGCATATTAAATATCTTCATGCATGTGTC